ATGACATCATGACGGCTGTGGTATCATTAGGTGATAGGAATTTTTCAGCTCCATTATAATCTTGTGGGACCACCATTGCCGTATTATATATGTGGCCCGTCGTTGACCAGGAAGTTGTTACGCAGTGCATGAGTGTAGTTAGGACACTGCTACTGGATCCTTACCACTGTCCCTCCTGAACTCTGTGAATTATCTTTAAGTGTCTTTCCTGATTCAAATCCCAAATTCTGGGTGGGAGCCTCTGGCTTTGCTGAACCTGGATCACATATCCGTATCCCAGGTGCCAGGGAACAGAACAGGAGGGAAAATGTCTGGCCCATTTTAGCTTTTTTACTAGGTGTTGGAATTTCTATCTCACCAAGGTTTACACGGTATGGGATGATCTGTACACAGGAAATTGAGTTTAGATGGCAGACAGGCAAAGTATAAATAAAGTTTTTTAAAAAGTCAAATGTCTGTTACAGTGCTGCTATTGGCCGATACCTGACTGATAGACCTCCGAAAGCTTATTTTACTTTTATGAGTTTCTCTTTTTTTTTGAGACAGAGTCTCACTGTGTTGCCCAGGCTAGAGTGCCGTGGCGTCAGCGTAGCTCACAGCAACCTCGGACTCCTGGGCTCAAGCGATCCTCCTACCTCAGCCTCCCAAGTAGCTGGGACTACAGGCATGCGCCACCATGCCCGGCTAATTTTTTCTGTATATTTTTAGTTGTCCGCTTAATTTCTTTCTATTTTTAGTAGAGACGGGGTCTCGCTCTTGCTCAGGCTGGTCTTGAACTCCTTGAGCTCAAACAATCCGCCCACCTCGGCCTCCCAGAGTGCTAGGATTACGGGCGTGAGCCACCGCGCCCAGCCCATGAATGCATTTTTTAAAAGGCAGTATTTAACCATTCCAAGCATATTTTTGTGTTATCTTTATGTAGCCACTCTTTTTATTTTGTGTTTTTCAAATTCTGCATGTATTTTTTTCATTGTTTATCATTTATGTTAGTTTGGTTATCACAGATCTTAAATTTTACCAACATTGCCTGTCTCTTTTTCCCATTGTTATTTGAACCTCTCTTTTATTGGACCTTTGTTGAGATCTTTAAGCAGTCCATATTGTTTGTTGTTTTAAAAAGAAAGCAGTTATTTGGAAAACTCTAAAGAGAGGCACAAGTCACTTACCTACCACTAAAGTATTATTATTAATATGTGGTAGGTAAAACAGCTTCCAGGTCCTTATGACAAAGTGAGAGTTGTGGTTGTATTGATTAGGGTTCAAATTTAGGATGCCTAATGTAGAAATTCAGATTAAAGTGGCTTAAATACAATCCAGAGGCGAGTGGTCCAGGCTGGTCTGTCTGTCCTGTTGCTTTAGTGTTGGTGTCCCTGCTTGATTGTCAAAGCTGGGTCAAAGCAATCTTCCTGCCTTGGCCTCCTGAAGTGCTAGGGTTACAGGCATGAGCCACTGTGCCCGGCCAACAGTTATGTTTTTTTAAGATTGCTGGAAAGAAAAGTCTGAGAAACATTTATTTTGATATTTAGTTGAATAATTGGAGTCAATGCAAAAATGTCTGGCATGTAAAAAACTTTAAACTAAAAAAATACTTCTATGTTTTTAGGTTTTATTACCCATCTGTAAGTAGACCTCTTTGGAGCTCTGCCAGTCAATTCAATGGCGTCCTCTACTACTGTGCCTCTAGGATTTCACTATGAAACAAAGTATGTTGTCCTCAGCTACTTGGGACTCCTCTCTCAGGAGAAGCTGCAAGAGCAACATCTTTCCTCACCCCAAGGTAATATCTTTGGCTTTTGTTGGTTATATTAGGTGGTAATAAGGAGTTCTTATGTAAAAGCATATGTACCTAAGTGATTTATATGTATGGTTATGAGATTAATACTAATAAGGTTAATCCCTTACCCCATCCCTTCCCACCTCTTGGTTCATTTCCAGAAGCAACTACGTTTAATGTTTTTTTTTATTCTTTTTCTTTATTAGTTCTTTTTAATTTTAATAGATTTAGGGGGTACAAGTTGAATTTCATTACATGTATATATTGTATTGTATTGGAATCTGGGCTTTTGGTGTACCCATTACCTGAGAACTGTACATTGTACCCCATAAGTAATTTTTCATGCCCCAGCCCTTCCTACCCTCCCCCATTGAGTCTCCAGTGTTGATTTTACCACTCTGTGTGCCCTTGTCTAGTCATAGTTCAGCTCCCACTTATAAACGAGGACATATGGCATTTACTTTTCTGTTCCTGAGTTAGTTCACTTAAGATAAATGGCCTCTAGTTCCATCCAAGTTGTTGCAAAAGACATTATTTCATTCTTTCTTATCGCTGCGTAGTACTCCGTGGTATATATACTTTTTTTAATCCACTCATCGGTTAACGAGTACTTAAGTTGATTCCATATCTTTGCAGTTGTGAATTGTTCTGTGATAAACATACAAGTGCAGGTATCTTTTTGATATAATAATTTCTTTTCCTCAGGGTGTATATCCAGTAGTGGGATTGCAGGATCAAATGGTTGATCTAGTTCTTTAGGAATCTCCATACTGATCTCCACAGAGGTTGTACTAATTTACATTTCCATCAACAGTATATAAGTGTTCCCTTTT